GGCCGAGGGGTGGAGCTGCAGTCTGCGCCGGATGCTCGGGGCCGCTGCTGCCCGGAGCGTCTACTGGCCGGAGCTGCCCGCCAGCACCTGGCCCCTCGGCGGCCGCACGGACACTGCGAGCAAGGGCGGCCATGCAGGAGCCGCTGCTGGGAGCCGAGGGCCCGGACTACGACACCTTCCCTGAGAAGTCCCCGTCGCCGGGGGAGAGGACGCGGGTCGGGTGAGAGTCGCGGGGCATGGGGGCTGCGGGTAGGGGCCGGCTTCCGCCTTGGGCCTTCTCTGACCTTCCGTGAGTGTCCAGCAAAGGTCCGTCTGGCCCCCTTCTGCCCCAGACACCCCAGTCCTATTTAAGGAGCTGTTCTCCCCCCGTAGCAGGCCCAGCCCCCAGCTGGCGCAGCCAGGGTGAGGGAAGCCCAGAGAGGGCAAGGGGCTTGCTTGCCTAAGGTCACACAGCAAGCTTCAGAGGCAAAGCTGCCAGCGGAAGGCAAGCCTCCTCTGCTAGAGAGAAGTGCCCCTTCACCCGTGTCTCAGCCACGGGGGTGGGCTTTGGGGACTGTCCTGGGGATTCTCCAAGCGAAAGGACACAAGGTCTGGGAGCCCTCGGCCCAGCCCAACCCAGCGCTGCCCTCCGAGCCCCAGCCGGCAGTCACTGGGCTCAGGACCCGCAGCCTTTCAGCCACCGGGGGAGGAGGAGCTCCAAGACCTCATCACTCTGCCCGCCCCCACCACCACCAGGGCCCCACAGAACAAGAGGGTGTTCCTGGCCACCTTTGCCGCCGTGCTGGGCAATTTCAGCTTCGGGTATGCCCTGGTCTACACGTCCCCTGTCATCCCAGCCCTGGAGCACTCCTTGGACCCGGACCTGAGTCTGACCAAAACCCAGGCATCCTGGTTTGGGGTAAGGGCCCTCCTCTGAGCTGGAGACGGGCAGAGCAGGGTGAGCGGGGACCCATGAAGCTAGGGCCCCCCTGTAGGGCCCTGGTCTTCCCCCTCCCTGATCCTCACCAGGTTGTAGGAGCGGCAGTGGGTGAGTGAGGTCAGATGATTGCTCTGAAATATAAGGAGGAAGTGATTGCTAAGAAGCTGTGGGAAGGAGACTGTGGAGAGGTGGTCCTCCGGGTCTCCCTCCTGCCCCAGGCCCCCCCCCACAGACCCCCACAGCCGAACTGCCACAACAGAGCGGGCACCTCCCTGGATGATAGGGGGCAGGGGCCTCAGATGCCAATGGGAAGAGGCACTGGCTGGGGCAAGGAGGGCCCCAGGACTGAGTGTGGGCACGTGGGAGGGAAGAGCGGGGGCCCTGAGAGTCCCAGGATACTAGAGTTACCATCTCAGTAGCCTCCGATTTACAATTACAACAGAGCAGCTAAGATGATACCCAGTGTGTCCTGAGCACTCAGTATGTGCCAGGGTGTGCTGCTGGGCACTGTACATGAGAGCTAGTTGACTCCAGGGCCAACCCTATGAGGTGGGTACTCCTGCTGTCCCCATAAAACAGCTAAAGAAACTGAGGCTCAGATAGGCTAAGCGATGTGCCCAAGTCACTGACTGGATCCTACTCACTACACTCTACAGGGAATCCAAGAACCCCCAAATCTAAAAATGCCAGGGACTTCAGGTCACAGAATTCTCCTGTCTGCCGTAATAGTATTAGACATTTAAACGTTCGGCTGAGCTGAACCACTATGGAGAGGTGGCCCCACATTACTCCCCAGAGCAGGACTCCCCATGGTGGCATCTCTAACAAAGGGTTGTGCACATGATGCTTGCACACCTCTGGAGACAGGAGGCTCACTACCAGTCAGGGCCTGGATCCTGCAGGCAGGGATCTCACGATCAGCCTAGAAAAGTGGCTGCCCCTAGGCTCTGATGGGGGGTAGGAGTGTTGGGTGCCCACACATGTCTGCCCTCCACCCTTTTTCTGCAGTCCATATTCACCTTGGGTGCAGCAGCTGGGGGCCTTAGTGCTATGGTTCTCAACGACCTCCTGGGCCGGAAGCTCAGCATCATGTTCTCAGCTGTACCATCAGCAGCCGGCTACGCGCTCATGGCAGGTGCCCACGGCTTCTGGATGCTGCTGCTGGGGAGGACGCTGACAGGCTTCGCTGGGGGTCTCACAGCTGCCTGCATCCCGGTAAGGCCAGGACTGCCCACCCCTGTCCCCTCACTGCCTCAGCACTGTGCTAACAACCATGTGGCTGAAGTCTCCCGGCCCCCCTCCCAGCCCCCCGGTCAATGGAGATATGTTTGCCGGAGAACCTCAGCTCACCTGCAGCAGGGCAGCTAATCTGTCCCCACATCCCCAGCCAACCTCACTTTGGACTCCTTCAAGTTCCCACCCCATTTCCCGACAGTCAGGCACATTGCTCAACTGAAGAAAATCTGCGTTAAGCAATGGGGAAAGGGGAAGTCTCTCCCCTCCCTAGGACTCCTCCCACAGCTGCACCCACACCCTGTCAGGGGCCAGGGCAAGGCCAGCAGGGGGCTAGGGATGCCCGGGAGGAGCCGAGTCTGGGTGCCTATGGGCCTCCCGCCTCCCCACCTCATGCTGCCCGTTTCAAAGGCAAGCACTTCCGCCCACTTGACGGTTAGGGAAATGGACAGAGTCACAATCAGGACAAGAGCCCCATCAGAAGACCCCACTTGTCACTTCCCAAGGTTCACCGGGGCCACCTCTCCCATCTTAGCCAGGCCCAGGAGCCTAAATCTCACCAAAGGCCCTGGGTGGGCCGATGTGTCTTGCAGGTGTACGTGTCTGAGATTGCTACCCCGAGTGTTCGTGGGGCCCTGGGGGCCACGCCCCAGCTCATGGCAGTGTTCGGATCTCTGTCCCTCTACGCCCTTGGCAAGTATCATCCAAATGAGCACTGAGCACCTCCTGTGTGCAGGGGTGGGAGTGACAGGGTACCGCTGAGCAGACAGGGCTGGAAAGGCAGTGAACACGCCCCAAAACAAACCCCAGCTGGGGAACAAGATACCACTGTGCTGTGTACATCTAGGCAATACCCTGCCTCTCTCTGGCCATAGGGGAAGTCCATATAGAAAAGAGATCAGAGCCCATCTGGTTGAGATGGGGTGGGGATTTGGGGTAGAAGCCTGGGGCCTTGCCTGCTCAGGCTACCTCTCTATCACCCTGCCATGGCCCTTGAGACCCTCCAGGGACCTCCTTCTATGTGCTGGGCCCGGTGCTAGGGGCCAAGCAATCCCTGGGGCCCCTCCTGGTGTAGATCACAGAGGCTTGGGGCAACCAGGGTAGGCTTCCTGTGGGAGGTGGCCCTGGGACTAGCCCTTGAGGACAGATGAGGTTGCTCAGAGGCCTCGACGGGAGGGAACTCTGTCCAGCCTGGACCCCAGCTCCTCACCCCATCCTCACCTCCAGGCCTCCTGCTGCCATGGCGCTGGCTGGCTGTGGCCGGGGAAGGGCCCGTGCTCATCATGATCCTGCTGCTCAGCTTCATGCCCAACTCCCCTCGCTTCCTGCTCTCACGGGGCAGGGACACAGAGGCACTGCGGGCGCTGGCCTGGCTCCGTGGGGCCGACACCGACATCCGCTGGGAGTTCCAGCAGATCCAGGACAACGTCCGCAGACAGGTGTGGGAGGGTTGGGTGCACAGCTCTGTGTGGCTGCAGCCAGCCGCTAGGCCTATCTGAGCCTTGGTTGCTTTTCCCGGGGAATGGGGATAAGAGCAGCTCCCACCTCCAAGAACCGGGGGGAGGGGAGATATTGCCACACTTGACCCAGAGCACGTGCTCCGTGCTGCCAATGCTTGGGCACACAGAGACCCTTACAATCAAAAATCTTCCTTGACCCACCCGCTCATCCAAGAGCCTGGGGTTCAGGCGGGGGTCCCCCAGGCCTGTGAATGGCCTGGACTGCCTCCAGGCACAGGGTCCTTCCTGGGGGGAGAGAGGAGGCAGTCTCCTACCCAGCCTCATGCAACCCAGGGTAGGGTGGAGCCTGCTGGAGGGGCCGGCACAGCTTCCCCTCAGTGGCAGCTTCATGTTTCTAGAGCACCCACATGTCGTGGGCCGAGGCCCGGAACCCCCACATGTACCGACCCATCCTCATCGCCTTGCTGATGCGCTTCCTGCAGCAACTGATGGGCATCACGCCCATCCTTGTCTACCTGCAGCCCATCTTCGAAAGCACTGCCGTCTTTCTGGTGAGAGCCCGACCCCACACCACCCGGCATCTGGGAGGCCGTCCCTTACTGAGCACCTGCCCTGTGGCTCGTGTCAGGGGTGCGTGGGCCCTGTGGAGACCGCCAGGGTCTCCTAGCTGGTTTTGTGCCACGTCCCTGTTCTCAGAATAATGTTTATAAGTAAACTTACATATTTTAAAATATCCGGGATTCCAAAGGAACCCGTTGTCTAGAAGTGCGGAGCCCTTCGGGGTCATGGACCCCAGGTTCAGAACATCTGCCACTCACTGAGGGAAGTCCCTTGCCTCCAAACCTCAGCTTCCGCCTCTGTAGACGGGAGATTAGAGGGTGTGCCTGCGCCGGCCGGTCCTGGACTCAGAGGGAGAGGAGATTGAAAGATTAGTGACAGTGCAGTCCCACAAGTCACTGTGGCGCCTGGATTCCATGCTGGCCCGGGGGGCCCTGTGGGCTAGGCTGGGTGACCAGAGGAAGCACCTGACACATGGTGCCTGCTCAGCAGCTCAACGCTCCAAAGGAGCTGTGGCCACAGCCTGGGACCGGAGCGTCCCGCGGCCCCTTGTTGGGGTACGGGTGGGACAGGAGCAGCACGCTGGAGCCCCTCAGCCCTAGCGGCTTCCTCCCTGCAGCCCCCGAAGGACGATGCAGCCATCGTGGGGGCCGTGAGGCTCTTCTCCGTGCTGATCGCCGCCCTCACCATGGACCTGGCTGGCCGCAAGGTTCTGCTCTTCATCTCAGGTGAGCACTCGCCGCCTTCTCCCGCCGCTGACGATCACGCGCCTGCCCGCGCAGGGCGCGCTGTGGCTGGGAGCTCCGGGGTGGGGTGCGGGGTCGTCCCACCTGCCCTGTGGGTCCCGCCTCCCCAGCACCCAGCACAGGGCCTGGCATACACCCGCTGCGGCAGGAGGGCCTGCGGGGGCCACAGTGTGACCGAAGCTCCAACGCAGGCAGGCAGAGCTTGCTGCTCTGCAGGAAGCATCCGGTCACTGGCCGTGGCGGCCGCCTGGATGAGAACTGGCCCGCGTAGGGTGCAGGGTGCTGAGGGGCTATGCAGAGGAAGCACCCGGCTCAGAGGGTCCTGGCCCCCCCTCCCGAGGGCCACCTGTCTGTCCACAGCCACCATTATGTTTGTGGCCAACCTGACGCTGGGGCTGTATGTCCACTTCGGTCCGAAGCCTCTGACTCCCAACAGCACCATGAGCACCATGGGCCTCGAGAGTGTGTCCTTGGGGGGCACAGAGCAGCCCCTGGCCACCCCCTCCAGCTACCTCACCCTCGTGCCCCTGGTGGCCACCATGCTCTTCATCACAGGTAGGTGTGCAGCGACTGCACCAGGATGAGGGCTCGGGAGGCTGATGGCCAGCCAGAGGGGGGCTGGCTTGTGCTCAGGTGTGAGGGCCCTGCTAGGGCATGGGCGGGGCACCGTGGTCCTGGTGTGTCAGCGGGGTTGGCGACCCGGGGGTCTCGGCAGCTCCGTGCAGGCAGCAGAGGCCCCTCGTCCTCTCTTGGCAGGCTACGCCATGGGCTGGGGGCCCATCACCTGGCTCCTCATGTCGGAGATCCTGCCCCTGCAAGCCCGCGGTGTGGCCTCGGGGCTCTGCGTGCTCGTCAGCTGGCTCACTGCCTTTGCCCTCACCAAGTCCTTCCTGCTGGTGGTGGTGAGTAACTCGGGTGGGGCTTCTCGGTCAAGTCCTCGGAGGGCCCCCAGGTACTCCCGGGCCAGGACAAGTGAGCCCAGAGGGCCTTCTGTCCGGGTGGCAGTTGGGGTCTCCCGGCAGGGTCCCTGCTGGCCAGCCCACATAGGGCGCTATGTGCCCTTCTCCCCACTCCTGGCTCAGACCCCCAACAGGCCCTGAAGCCAACCAGAATCTCGTTCCCAGCTCCCGGGAGGGACAGTGTGACTGGGGCAGCCAGGGCCAGGGCCGCCCCTGGTGTAGCCAGTGGGTCAGGGCAGGGTTTGGGAGCACGCGTGGTGGGCACAACCCCGGCAGAGAGGCGCAGATGAGCTTGGGGCAGGGCAGGAGGACGTGTGTGGTGGCTCCAGAAACACAGGAGCTTGCTTCCGCCAGGCTAGGGGGTGCAGGCCTCCTGCAGGTGGGAGAGGTGGCTGTCTGAGCCAAGGCTGAGGCCAGAGCTCCCGGCCAGGGCGGGCCATGCTAAAGCATTTGTGTCTCATGCGGGAGGCAGTGAGGAGCCCAGGGAGACCCCTGAGCAGGGGAGTAAGGGGAAGGCCCCTCAAGGCTGGCTAACACTGGAAGGGTCCCAGGAACCCCCCGTGTGACCAGGCATCCCCTCCATACCCCCAGAACGCCTTCGGCCTCCACGTGCCTTTCTTCTTCTTCACTGCCATCTGCTTGGCCAGCCTGGTGTTCACTGGCTGCTGGGTGCCTGAGACCAAGGGCCGGTCGCTGGAGCAGATTGAGTCCTTCTTCCGCACTGGGAGGAGGTCCTTCCTGCACTAGGTGAGGGTCCCCGCCCGGGGTGCCAAACCACTGGGCGCAAGGCCTCTGCGCTGGCCACAAGCCTGCACGCTGAGCCCGGAAGGCAGCAGCAATCTGCCATCTGACGGAACACAGGAGGACCAGACAGAAGCATGGCAGGCCCCCCACAGGGCACGTTCTGGCTCTGGGCAGGCAGCACCCCTCTCCATCCTAGGCCCCAGCTCAGGCAGCCTGCCGTGTTGCACGCTCATCGGCCAAGACGCACCGGCAGAGGAGGCAGCCATGGGCCACAGGGGAGCACACGGCCCGGGGGCCAGGACAAGGCCCTGCTGGCTGACCTGGGGCCTGGTTCCTTACTTGGGTGCAGAGGATGCGCCAGAGGGCTACAACGAGGAGAGAGCACAGGGCGGGAGACGGTGGATGGATCCACACAGGGACATCATCGTGCCATTTTGTTCTGATCCGCTTAGTCACCATGGAACAACTTGACTACAGGGAGGAAGACAGATCTGTACTTCTAAAAGTTTATGGGTACTATGGGGAACATTCTAGACTCCCACAGGCCAGGGCCCAAGACCCAGCACAGACACTTCCTCCTGCACCCACCCAACCTCTGGAAACGGGGCTCAAGCGCTCCTGTCTGCAAACCATGTTCACCCTGTTTGTAAAAATAGATCAGGCTCTTGGCCTTGGACTGGCAGGATGGGGTATATTGCAGGTGGGGGAGCCCACCCAGCAGCCAGGTTTGGCTAGACCCAAACTCTCAGCCAAGGTTGCCAGGGCCTGCTGCCCTAGGCAAGGCCCCCTCCGGCCACCCCCGACCTGTCCACAGTAAGGCAGAGGGAAGGGGCGAGGCAGCCGGTGGGGGAGAGCCTGGCCGCGGGTTGGCTCTGTCCCACAGACTCAGCCCTCCCCAGCTGTGTGACCTCGGCAAGCCACATTCCTCGTCTTAGATGCTATGAGCAGGATTGGGACAGGGCCAGCCGCACAGAAGGTCCTCAATAAAATGGCAGTTACTCCCAGGGCCAGTGGTCCCAGCCTGCTTGCTTACGGCACCAGGGGTGGGGGTGGGGGTGTGGAGGGAATAGGCAGTGTATGAGCAAGCATACAAACTCCCGCCAGGCTTTATTGCTCAAAATGCACACTGAACACTGAGAAGGTGAGGGCCCCGAGACAACAGAGTCCAGACCCGTGGAGGCAGGAGTGGAACCTGGCGGCCCAGCCCCTTCTGCCAGCTGGACAGATGTTCCTTGCGAGGCAACACCCCACACTGAGGGATGGGGTCACTGCTCCAGGATTGCTTAGCCCTACTCGCTGGGAACCTCGGGTCCATCCTGGCCGGTGACTGAGGGGCTGGAGGGCCCTCCCACCTCTGCGCCTGCCTCTAGAGCCCACCCGACACCCACCCGACTTCCCGACAGGGTAGAGGTGCAGCCCTCCTGAACACAGAGCCAGCCCCTCTCCTCCTGCAGAAGGAAGCCCCCGCCATCAAGGCCCCTGCCGCAGGGGCAGGAGGGGTGGGCAGGAGTGACCCTTGCGTCCCACTTCCTGGATAAGAATGAACCAAGAGGGGCGCTCCTCTTGGGAGGTAGACAGGTCTTACAGCACACGCAGAAGACACACAAACACACACACGGCAGACACAGAGACACACCCGCCCGCCCGGAGGGGTCTAGAGCCCACAGCCCTTTGAACCTAGCGCTTGTTTGAGAGAGGTGGTCCCAGGGGACCCCCGAAGGCACGTGTCCCACCAGGCCAGCCACGCTGCAGTGCCCTTGCCACCCGGGGGCCCAGCCTGGTCAGGCCCTCTGGAGGGCCGCCGGGGGCCACTGCTGACAAGGAGCCCTGGGATGTGTCCCCAGGACAGTAACTGCCCCTCCTGCTGTCCAACACTAACAAGCCCCTGAGAGGAGCGCTCCCTCTGGGAAGCAAGGATCTGGACACAGCCCAAGGTCTGTTTCCAACAAAGCAGGACTGGGGCTGAGCTCGGGGCCGTGAGCAGGTGCCGCCAGGGTCCTGGGAGAAGGAAGAGCAGAGCTAGGCCCCAGATGGAGCCTTTTCCACACCGCCCATTTCTGCCCAGTGCCGCCTGGGCTCTGTCAGGTCCCATCAGACAGACCTAGCAGCTGGGGGCAAGTCCGGTGAGCGGAGCCGTCAGCGGGCTGAGGCGGACATACGCGGGGGACACAGGAACACTGGCATGGAAGGAGGCCGGGGGAGACGGTGCACAGCCCAGGCAGGGCCGCCTCCTCGTGCCCCCCGCACAGGCTTTGTTCCCAGGTGGCCTGGGTACAGCTCATGGTGGCGGAGGAAGCTCTGGCCTCTGCCCAGCTCTCAAAGGCAAGAAGCTCCCCGAAGGCAGGGTCGGGGGCAGGCCAGCAGCAGTATCAGTGGGTCGAGCTTAGCCCTACTAACTGGGCTTGGGTCACTGCTAACATGGCAGGACCACACCAGAGAGGTGGACAAACAGCCCCATGGGAGAGGAGAGCCTGCCCTCCCCACTCCCTTAGCACCAGGGCCTTGGGGGTTGGGGGGAGAACCTGGGGGCCCGGGCCAGGCCCATGAGAAGTATCCTGGAACAGCTTGTCCAAGCTTCCAGGGAGCTGGGGGAGGGAGCACTCCCCGGACGTCCAGCCGCTGCCAAGGCTGCTGTTCTGGGTACTCTAGAAGCATCCCGGGAGTGCTGTGGGCTCCCACGAGAGAACAGAGAGGCAGGGAGGGGCCCGGGCAGCGGCAGACCATGGGCAGCAGGGCACCACTCTGTCCCAGTGACAGGTGGACAGAGGGGGCCCAGGTGGCTCAGCCTACAGCATACTTTCCTGCCTGGAGAGCCAAGAGGAGGCTCCCTCTGCCCAATGCCCGGGCCCAGCATCTCTGGGGGAAGCTCCTCCCAAGCGTTCAGCAGATCCCCGGCGGCTCTGCTAGCAGTGGGAGTCTGGAAATGCACACGACGGCCTGTTTCCGGCTGAGCCAGGCCAGCTGTGCGTGGGGCCAGGCTCTGCTCTGCCTCCAGCCCTGTGGCCTGGGTCACCCCTGGGGCTGCCCGCTGTCACTGCCAGTCTCCTTCCTGCTGGCCGAGGCCCAGGGCCGGGAGACACCAAGCTAGAGAAAGGAGAAGACAGAAGAGGACTCCAGGGATAGGGACGGGGGTAGAGGGGCTGATGGGAGCCAGGCAAAGGCTCCTCTTCCAGGCTGTCCTTCAGGGTCAATGCTCCAGGCCTCATCCCTGCAGGACGTGTCCACACAGAGGCACAGGAGCGAGCAGGAAGCTCACATTACAGCTCCCCCTCCAGGGTGTCCGTGAGCTTCTCCTCATCCCCCTGCTGCTTCTGCTGCTGGATCCTGGCATAGGAGATGGCATCGCCCCTGGGGAGAGAGCGAGTCAGCGTCACGGGGGGAAAGACCCCAGGGACACAGCCCTCCCAGCCACTATCAGATTCCTGGCCTGTGACCAAGGCACGACCTGCAGGGACACCCTACTGGGCTCTGGTTTCCCCAGACACCCTGCTGCTGGGATGGCAGACAGGTCCCCTCTAAGAGTGGCACGGCTGCCTGGGGTGCTGGGTGGAGAAGGACTCAGAGTTGCAGTCCGGGCTCTGAGGACAGAGGAAGAGGCTCTCCCAAGCCACAGACCTGCCAGCCCCACTATGGGCTGTGGCAAGGTACAGCCAGGCCAGCAGAAGCCCACGAGCCCTCCTGCTCCCGTCCCCTAGAGCTGAACACCCCGAGGATGCTGACAGCCTCTGTGCCTCAGTGTCCACAGAGGGGTAACGAGGCCCCTCCCAGACCCTCCTCCCTGAGAGACTTTCAGGAGGCAGGATGTCAAGATCCCCCCGCGGGGGGCCAGGAGAGGCACACTCACTTCTTGCCCAGAGCAGAGAGTCCATACAACACCCCAGTGGCGAATGCGATGGCATTGCCCAGCAGCGTGGTCAGGGTCAGGCTGATGACGACGGGAATGATGGCCATCCTACGAGAGAGGCAGAGGTCAGGGGGTACTCCCGCCCTGCGGCGGCCTCGCCGCTTCCAGGCCCCCTCCCCAGACACCAGGTGCAGGAAGGGTCCCGAGAAATCAGTCCGGACACAGGTTCACAGCCAGGCTTCAGAAAGTCCTTAGACACACAGGCACTTGTCTGCGAAATTCTGTGTATTTTCGGGGAGAAGATGTAAAGCCTTCATCAGATCGTTGACAGGGTCTGTGGCACACAAAGGATGAAACAGTACTGGGATAGTCTGCCCTCCCTGTCCATAAAACAGGCCAACCAGAAAATCACATGTCAGTCCACCCCCTAGTGGCTTTGTGACTCAGCAAGTCCCTGAATTCCTCCCGTGTTAGTGTTAACGACACACTACAATGCCCGGAACAGCATCAGCACCAGATACATGGTAGCTCTTTGCACTGCAGTAAAACCGGCCACATCTCACCACCAAAGAACCCAAAGCTTCAACTGCATAAGGCATGGGGTTTCCTGCTTGCTAGGTCCCCGGCCGGAGCAGCCCCAGCTCCGTCTGGTCCCGACCTCTGTCTGGCGCCACCTGGCGGCAGGTGTCCGCTCCGGCTTGAGTAGCCATGGGGCTGACTCTCCAGATTCTGGCAGGGATTCCCAGACCAGGGTGGCGGTTAGGTTATCTACTCAGGAAGATACTGCGTCTGGAGGACCAGCACTCTGTCCTGTTGCTTCCCTGGGCCAGACTGTCTGCCCAGAGGCCTCCCCTGCCCACACGCACCCTGCACACAAAGAAGGTAAGACTGGACCACCAGTTGAATTCCACCTGACTCTATTCAGGCGGGACAAGTGATCTGAGGTTTTACTGTGGTCATAAAATTTCTAGGTAATAAAAGAATAACAGATGGGGCGCCTGGGTGGCTCAGTCATTAAGCGTCTGCCTTCAGCTCGGGTCAAGATCCCAGGGTCCTGGGATCGAGCCCCGCATCGGGCTCCCTGCTCGGCAGGA